CGTTGGACGGGAGAGGTTGGCGATGCGTCGCGTTTTCGGGTCTGGGGATCTCGAGCTTTTGTTCGCGATACGTCTGCGGACAAGCTCTCCTCCCGCGCTGTTCCTTGTGTCTTCCTTGGCTTTGTCCCGGACGCGCCTGGTTGGCAGTTTTACCACGTCACCTCGCGCCGGGTTCTGGCTTCTCAGGACGTCACCTTTGACGAGTCCGTCCCCTACTACCGCCTCTTCCCCTACCGCACTGCCCCGCTCCCCCCTCCGCCTCTCTTCCTCGCGCCAGGTGCTGCTGTGGTAGACCCCCTCCCCCCTCAGGGTGCCGCTCCCTCAGGTGTGTCCCAGGTAGACCCGGTTGAGCCTGTCGAGGTAGCTGTCGACTCTCGTCCTGCTAGGGGTGCTGAGCCTGAGCGTGCGGAGCCTGGGGGTGCTGAGCGTGGAGGTGCTGAGCCTGGGGGTGCTGAGCCAGGGGGGTGCTGAGCCTGGGGGTGCGGAGCCTGGGGGTGCTGAGCCTGTGGGTGCGGAGCCTGGGGGTGCTGAGCCTGGGGGTGCTGAGTCTGGGGGTGCTGAGTCTGGGGGTGCTGAGTCTGGGGGTGCTGAGCCTGGGAGTGCTACACCTGGAGGAGCCCTCTCCTCACAGCAGCTGCAGGAGAGGTACTTACAGTACTGCAGCCTCAGGAGAGGTGCTTCTGGAGCCAGGAGTGCTGCTGGAGCTGGTACTAGTGCTTCCCCTCCTACGCGGGAGCTACCCTCCCTTCAGCGGATCCGAGAGTGGTACACGCGGCGCTGCAGTCTTCGGAGTGGCGCTCCTGGTGTTGCGGACCCTGGTACTGCAGGTGCTGCCGCTGCTGGTGGTGGAGCTGCTGGAGGTGCTGCTGCTGGCGGTACTGCTAGCGCTACTGGTGGTGCTGCTGGTGCTGCGGACCCTGGAGTTGGAGCTGCTGCTGGTGCTGCGAACCCTGTGGTTGGAGCTACTGCTGGTGCTGAGGACCCTGGAGTTGGAGCTGCTGCTGGTGCTGCGGACCCTGGAGTTGGAGCTACTGCTGGTGCTGAGGACCCAGGCGTTGGAGCTGCTGCTGGTGCTGCGGACCCTGGAGTTGGAGCTGTGGCTGGTGCTGCGGACCCGGACGTTGGGACTGCTGCTGGTGCCCCAGCCTCGGGAGCTGGAGCTGCTGCTGGTGCTGAGGACCCTGGCGCTGGTGTCTCTGCTGGTTCTGGAGACGCTGCGCGGCCGCGACCGTACTTCGTGCCGCTCCTTCAGCAGGTTCTTGGTCAGACTCCTCCTCCTTGTCCTCCTCCCTCCTTAGAGTGTCCTCCGCCTGTCCAGTCGCCGTCACAGTTACCGCCTGCCTCGCCTCTCCCTGGTCCTTCTCCTTACACTGGTCCGACAGGAGGTCTTACGGAGCGTCGTGAGCCTGAGTCTCGTCCTGTGTCGCCTGCGTCTCGCTCTGCGTCGCCTGTTCGTGCTGCTCGCACTGGTCGTCGTGTCCCACGTGAGCGTCCTCCTCCTGTCCCTGGCACTCACTACATGACTCTGCGTCCCTCCACTGCTCCTCAGCGTGTCCCTCTGCCGTCTCCTCCTGCGTCCTCTCTTCCTACTCTTGCTGACCCGGAGTCTGACTCCCTTCGTGCTGCCAGTCCCACTGTCACGCGTCTCCTCGCCACTGTTGTCACTGACCCTACCTTTGAGTCCTCTACTGCGTCTGCTCTGGTCGCTAAGTTGGTTGACTTTGCTGCCCGGTGTCGTCTAGACTATGCCGCTAGCCTTGTTGCTGAGTCTGAGTCTGTCTGTCCTCCGTCCGTCGGGGGTGAGTGTGCTCTTGGCAAGGACGTCCTTGAGGACAGACAGGAGGAGTTCCAGTGCTTTGCTGCTGCTTTGCCCCATCTCGTGTCCATGCTAGTTGCCCCTGAGGGAGACCCGGATGCACCAGACATCTCGACCCCGCGCTCTTACGCAGAGGCGATGGCGGGTCCCTACTCCTCTCAGTGGCAGACAGCCATGGACGCAGAGATGGCTTCCTGGAAGTCCACAGGCACCTACGTCGACGAGGTTCCCCCACCTGGGGCGAACATCGTCAGTGGCATGTGGATTTTCAGGGTGAAGCGGCCGCCGGGCTCTCCTCCTGTCTTCAAGGCGCGCTACATTGCTCGAGGCTTCAGTCAGCGAGAGGGAGTAGACTTCTTCCAGACCTTCTCCCCCACCCCGAAGATGACCACTCTTCGGGTGCTGCTGCACATAGCCGCTCAGCGCGACTACGAGCTTCACTCACTTGACTTCAGCACGGCTTTCTTGCAAGGCAGCCTGCACGAGGAGATCTGGCTGCGCCGCCCTCCTGGCTTCACTGGGTCGTTTCCTCCTGGTACCCAGTAGAGCCTCCGGCGGCCAGTCTACGGTCTCCGCCAGGCGCCGCGTGAGTGGCACGACACACTGAGGACTACACTTGTGGCTCTTGGGTTCGCGCCTTCTACAGCTGACCCGTCGCTGTTTCTACGCACCGACACCTCGCTACCGCCGTTCTACATCCTCGTGTACGTCGACGACTTGGTCTTTGCCATTGCTGACACTGCGGCACTCGCCCACGTGAAGTCGGAGCTGCAGAAGAGACACACGTGCACAGACCTGGGTGACCTGACAAGCTATCTTGGCTTGCGGATCACTCGGGACAGAGCACGGCGCACCATCACCTTGACTCAGTCACACATGGTGCAGCAGGTCCTTCAGCGCTTCCGCTTCACGTACTCCTCGCCTCAGTCCACTCCTCTGCCTATTGGTCACTCGCTCTCAGCTCTGCCTTCGGATGAGTCCGTAGAGCCGAGTGGCCCGTATCCAGAGCTTGTGGGCTGCCTCATGTACCTGATGACCTGCACTCGACCTGACCTTGCATACCCTCTTAGCATCCTTGCACGCTATGTCGCTCCTGGCCATCACCGGAAGGAGCACATGGATGCAGCTAAGAGAGTGTTGCGCTACTTGTGCAGTACGTCAGGCATGGGGCTAGTGCTTGGAGGGCGAGACCGAGTTGTTCTCACTGGGCACTCAGACGCTTCTTGGGCAGACGACCAGGCTACACAGCGGTCGTCTCAGGGTTACACCTTCAGTCTTGGCTCTGGTTCAGTTTCTTGGCGTTCTACACGCTCTTCTTCTATTCTCAGCTCCAGTTGTGAGGCTGAGATCTACGCCACAGCCATGGCGGCCCAGGAGCTACGCTGGCTCACCTACCTGCTGACTGACTTGGGAGAGCGGCCTCGTTCTCCTCCAGTGCTGTACGTCGACAACAAGGCTGCCATTGCCTTGTGTGAGGAGCACAGACTGGAGCACAGAACGAAGCATATCGCTCTGCGTTACTTCCTGGCTCGAGAGCTGCAGCAGCGTGGTCAGCTTCGTCTGCGTTACGTGGCCACTCAGGCCAACACTGCTGATGTGTTCACCAAGGCGCTTCAGCCTTGTGACCATCAGCGTTTCTGTACTCTTCTAGGCCTTGTGCCTACTGGACCTCACTTGCTTACTTCTTGACTCTACTTGTACTGTGATCTCTATATATATACCTGCATGTTTACACTTGCTAGGTTGTGATCACTGTATCTCTTGTTATATTATCAAACTGCATGTGAACTGGTCTTGTGACCACTTGCTTGTGCTCGGAATTTGTGTGGTATCCTTGAGATCCACCCTGAGCTTGTTTTGCTTTGTTTTGACTGGTCTTGTGACCCCCCTGGTTGTCTCCCACTTCGCCTATGGGGGTGTGTCAAACATTGCATGTTTATGTTGTGTAGGCTGTAGTGGGTTTGACCTTAGGGGGTACACAAAGTTAGGGTTTCCTACTTGTACCCACCTTGCTGTTAGTTCATTCATTCCTGGTTCAGTTATTCTGACACGCGCAGCTCTCAGGGCGACGCGACGAGCAGCGGGGGCCGCGTTGGTCGACGAGCAGGGCAGCGCGCGGGTCCCCGGGGTGACCCACGAGGCAGGAAACCGCCGCGCGCAGAAAACCACCGCGCGCCACGAGCGCACGACGGGATGAAAAAGTGTCACGCGCCCGGGGTGCGCGACCAGCAGAAAAGTAGCAGCGGAAGCAGTAGACGGGCCCACAGGCTAGGAGCGTGAATGCTCTGAAACCATGTCACAATAGGTGCTAGAACAAGGAGCCATAGCTAGGGTTTACCTAGCTAGGCAAGAGAGAATTAGGCAAAAGAGAGGGGTTCACTAAGAAAGATGAGTACAAGATATAGCAAGGAGAAGCATGGTGCACCACCTACAGCAAATTGGGATGTGCTACACTCTATACTGCAGACAATTATAAAGAACATATATAAATATAGTTCAACAAAACATGCAAACGGTAACGCGGTGCGTGCGAGCTAGCTAGTGCTACGCTGGCAGCGAGGTTCGGGCTAGTCCCGAAGCGTAGGCCGACACGGCCTGACGAGCAGTGCGTGGTTTGGCAAAACAGTGCGCGCGAAGTTGGCGAAGCTCCGTAGCAGTAGCGGGCGAACAACGGCTGTTGGTGTACGCGATGTAGCAGGAATTTGTAAGGAATGTCGAGAAAATTCCTTACAAGAAACAACATTTTTTTTGGGACATAATACACTATGAAGAAACAACAAATTATAATGCATGTTGAGGTGAAAATTTAGAAGATGTGTGTTATAAAGTATAGAATGATATCGAAAGAACACATCGCGATACTCGGCTGCCACTCGGCTTACGTGCCCAAGTGTCGCCGAAATAGCTCGCCTTCGCATCGAGGTGTGTCGCAGCAGTCGCAAGAGCCGTCGCACGACGACAGCGCGACGCTCGTAGCCGTAGCATCTCTTTCACCACCATGCGTTGTCGCGATGCACCATCGCTTCGACCATGCTGAGTGCCGCCCTAGTTGCCTCGCTTTACTACGAATCCCATCCGCACCAGATTCCGCGCAGTAACCGTCCGTTCCGCCATGGGGCGGCGCATGGCGGCGCTGCGATGCGCGCCGTGCGGCTGGAGGCGAGTCTTGGCCGGGGGGGTGCTGATGGCGCTCGCGCTGATTGCGCTCGATATCGCGACCGACTATGACGAGGACGACGATGCGGGCTTGCGACCACGCGGCCTGCTATTCGATGACCTGGATGATGGCGGCCCGGATGATCTCTGGACGTTGGAGACGAAGATGAGCCGTGGATGCGCCCCAGGGACGAGATCTAACGGTTGCGACCGCGTGGACGCTGTAGTCGTTGCGGATGTGCGTTTCAGCTCCATCTGATTTCCCATCCCTCACCGTCATCCTTCTCCCCCCATATGCCAGCATACCTTCCTCCCCTTCCGCCTCCGCTCGCCCAGTCCACTCTGTCCCGCGCCATTCTCTCCCGCATTCCTCGCGTTCGTTTCTCTCATCTCGCGTACTCATTTCGCCCACTCTCGTCGCGCAGGGCGAGCTGGGCGCGCGGGTGCACGCGGTGTGCGCGGCGTCCGCCATGACGGCGCTGAGCACGCTGCTGACGCTCGCCGTGTGGCCGTCCGACCGCCACATGCCGCACGTCCGCTTCTCCCACCTCTTCTCCCTCACGCCGCCCAACCCCGCCTCCTCCTCTACCGACACCCCTGCCGCGCCCGCGCCCAACGCCACGGCGGGGGGTGGCGGGGGGGGCGGGGAGAGTGCGTGGGTGGGCGGGCCAGAGCGGCGAGTGTGGGTGCGCGAGTCAGCGCTGCCCGCTGCGGCGTGGAGGAGCGGGCTCAACCTCGCCACGCGCACGGTACACCCGCTGCCTCCCGTCTCCCTTTCCACACGCCTCCTCGCAGTCACTCACCACAACTCGCCCGTCACTGAACCCTCCGCGCCCCTCACTTACCCCCTCCCCATCAGACTCATCTATGCGTCCGCTTCACCTCACCCCTCTCCTCAAGCTCAACTCTCATCTTTCCGTCGTGCTTTCCAGCCCCTTCCTCTCCCATCTCCTCATGAATCCCATTCCTCCCAAGCGCCCTCCCCCCTCTCTCCCCTGTGCCCTCGGGTCCCCATGGCGGGCAGGTGGTGGTGCCCGCGTGTCCGCAGGGCTCAACTGCGGACGCGCAGGGAGGGGGGCCGGCGGGCAGCAGAGGGGGGGCCGGGGGGGGCAGCACGGCGGTGCACCTCTTCCTGTCGCCCGACGCCGTCAACTGGCTCGGCCTCGTGAGCCCCTCACTGCACCCTCCTACATCCCACGCGCACTGCCTCCCATGCGCACCTGCTGTGTGCCCACCTACTGTGTACGCACCTGCTGTCAGCAATGCACCTCTCATCAGAATGCTCCACATCTCCCACCCCCACTCTCTCCATGCCCTTCCCTGCCCCTCTCACCGTGCCCCTCTCACCCTGCCTCTGCCCCTCTTGCCGTGCCCCTTGCCCGCCAGTCACTGCCGGACGCGTGTGCGTTTGAGCGCGCCATGGGGGCGTGCATGGCGGCACTTCACCCCTCGCCGCCCGTGCAGCAGCTGCTGCAGCGGGAGAACGCCACACGCCTGCACGCCTCGTATGGCGTCTTCGTGGATGTGAGTGGGGGGAGGAGGGCGTGGGAGGGGAGTGTGAGGGTGGCTCGGCAGGGTGACGTGGGCCGGAGGATGGACGGAATGGGAAGCACAAAGCCGAATGAGGGGAGGGGGCAGATGGTGGGAGGGTTGAAGGCGAGTGAGCAGTAGTGGGTGGGGGTAGTGAGATCCATCGACTCCTTTTCACCCATCTACCCACTCTTCCCTCCATCCGCCCCTCTCTCTTTCTCTCGTATCCCCCGCAGTCACTAGCAGCACCGGGGTGCAGTGGCTGCCCAAGCAGCAACGGGTCAACAGCGGTGGAGTGTGTGATGAGGCGCGTGACGATGAGCGTCCTCAAGGACCCCTCCAAGGGCTTCACCCTCGCCGCCTCCAACCCGCACCACGCCGCCGCCGTCGCCGACTTCTTCCACCCGCTGCGCGCGCCCGCCCTGCTGCACGCCACGCTGTTGCGCGCCGCCACCTGCCCATTCGGCGAGCACGTGACTGCGCCGCGCGACCACGCGCACTCCGTGGTGGCGCCCGCCACCAGTGGTGGTGGACCCGCCCTGCACGCAGACGCCGTGGCAGGGGGTGGCAGAGGAGCAGGCGATGGGGGCGGCAGTGGAGGGGGCGAGGAGGATGCGGTGCTGCTGCCGTTCCACATCCGCGTCACACCCGAGCAGCTGCTGCTGTGCCTGCATGCACGGGTACGAGTGTGCATGCACGGGTACGAGTGTGCATGCACGGGTACGAGTGTGCATGCACGGGTACGAGTGTGCATGCACGGGTACGAGTGTGCATGCACGGGTACGAGTGTGCATGCACGGGTACGAGTGTGCATGCACGGGTACGAGTGTGCATGCACGGGTACGAGTGTGCATGCACGGGTACGAGTGTGCATGCACGGGTACGAGTGTGCATGCACGGGTACGAGTGTGCATGCACGGGTACGAGTGTGCATGCACGGGTACGAGTGTGCATGCACGGGTACGAGTGTGCATGCACGGGTACGAGTGTGCATGCACGGGTACGAGTGTGCATGCACGGGTACGAGTGTGCATGCACGGGTACGAGTGTGCATGCACGGGTACGAGTGTGCATGCACGGGTACGAGTGTGCATGCACGGGTACGAGTGTGCATGCACGGGTACGAGTGTGCATGCACGGGTACGAGTGTGCATGCACGGGTACGAGTGTGCATGCACGGGTACGAGTGTGCATGCACGGGTACGAGTGTGCATGCACGGGTACGAGTGTGCATGCACGGGTACGAGTGTGCATGCACGGGTACGAGTGTGCATGCACGGGTACGAGTGTGCATGCACGGGTACGAGTGTGCATGCACGGGTACGAGTGTGCATGCACGGGTACGAGTGTGCATGCACGGGTACGAGTGTGCATGCACGGGTACGAGTGTGCATGCACGGGTACGAGTGTGCATGCACGGGTACGAGTGTGCATGCACGGGTACGAGTGTGCATGCACGGGTACGAGTGTGCATGCACGGGTACGAGTGTGCATGCACGGGTACGAGTGTGCATGCACGGGTACGAGTGTGCATGCACGGGTACGAGTGTGCATGCACGGGTACGAGTGTGCATGCACGGGTACGAGTGTGCATGCACGGGTACGAGTGTGCATGCACGGGTACGAGTGTGCATGCACGGGTACGAGTGTGCATGCACGGGTACGAGTGTGCATGCACGGGTACGAGTGTGCATGCACGGGTACGAGTGTGCATGCACGGGTACGAGTGTGCATGCACGGGTACGAGTGTGCATGCACGGGTACGAGTGTGCATGCACGGGTACGAGTGTGCATGCACGGGTACGAGTGTGCATGCACGGGTACGAGTGTGCATGCACGGGTACGAGTGTGCATGCACGGGTACGAGTGTGCATGCACGGGTACGAGTGTGCATGCACGGGTACGAGTGTGCATGCACGGGTACGAGTGTGCATGCACGGGTACGAGTGTGCATGCACGGGTACGAGTGTGCATGCACGGGTACGAGTGTGCATGCACGGGTACGAGTGTGCATGCACGGGTACGAGTGTGCATGCACGGGTACGAGTGTGCATGCACGGGTACGAGTGTGCATGCACGGGTACGAGTGTGCATGCACGGGTACGAGTGTGCATGCACGGGTACGAGTGTGCATGCACGGGTACGAGTGTGCATGCACGGGTACGAGTGTGCATGCACGGGTACGAGTGTGCATGCATGGGTACGAGTGTGCATGCAGGGGTACGAGTGTGCTTACTGTGGTTGCTAGAGGTGAAATCGGGCTTCCTCTCTATGTTTGGCATCCCAGTGCACTGTAGGAATGATTGTGTTGCACTCCAAGCCCCCATGCCTCCACTGGGAGGTGCCACCTGCTTTCACACGAGTCGCTTCGCTCTCTCTTATTCACTCCTTATCCTTCGCTCCCCGTTCCTCCCTCTCCTCCCCACCCTCCATCTTCCTCCGGTGGAGGGCAGGTAGCGGAGCTGTATGCGCTGAGTGGCACGAGGGGGCTCATTACGGTGAACTCGTCGTCAGCGGAATGACTTTTGAGCCGACTCACATGTGACCTTCCCTGTCTGTGTCTGTGCGGGTGCGCAGGTGGCGGAGCTGTATGCGTTGAGTGGCACGAGGGGGCTCATCGCGGTGAACTCGTCGTCAGCGGAGGCGCGCTTCATCGCCGCGCACGGCAGCGCGCGCAGCGAGCTGTTCCGCGTGCAGCGCGCCGTGTGTGACTCGCCGCCACTGCGCCCCATCACACACCTCAAGTTCGCTAAATACACCATTGTTGAGGGTGGGTCAGGGGGAACGGGGGCATTGCACTGCTTTCTATTAATCGCTCTTTTCCTTGCATTTACAGACACTTTCTCTTTTCCTCTCCCTTTCACTCGCATCCTCTTCTACCTTTCCGTGATCCCTACCTCCCTTCCTTTCCTGCCATGCCACCACTCCCTGCCATGCCACCACTCCCTGCCATGCCACCACTCCCTGCCATGCCACCACTCCCTGCCATGCCACCACTCCCTGCCATGCCACCACTCCCTGCCATGCCACCACTCCCTGCCATGCCACCACTCCCTGCCATGCCACCACTCCCTGCCATGCCACCACTCCCTGCCATGCCACCACTCCCTGCCATGCCACCACTCCCTGCCATGCCACCACTCCCTGCCATGCCACCACTCCCTGCCATGCCACCACTCCCTGCCATGCCACCACTCCCTGCCATGCCACCACTCCCTGCCATGCCACCACTCCCTGCCATGCCACCACTCCCTGCCATGCCACCACTCCCTGCCATGCCACCACTCCCTGCCATGCCACCACTCCCTGCCATGCCACCACTCCCTGCCATGCCACCACTCCCTGCCATGCCACCACTCCCTTGGCACTTTTCACCATCCTATGCTGCCACCATCCCATGCGCCCTCTCACACCGCCACCTGCCCTGTTCTCTGCCCCGCTGCCCCTATCGCTGCCGCTCTGCCCTATCGCTGCCGCGCTGCCCCACCGCTCTACACCCCACAGAGCGACTGGGAGTGATGTACTGCGGAGTGCCCGGTGTGGCGTCCACGGCGTGGCTCACATGGCTGCGCGCGCGTCTGGGGCTGCCCTCCGCACGTGAGGGGCGCGTGGCGGTGGACGACCGCGATGGCGGGCTGCACGAGCTCGCACTGCACTTCTCTGAGGCCCACGCCGTGCGCGCTCCTCCTCCTCCTCACCCACCCTCTCCTTCCCGTCCCGTTCTCACCTCCCTGAATTCTCAGACCCCCCTTCCCGCACCTATTCCCCTCCTCTGTCTCTCTCGTTCGCTTCCACAGTCCCAACCACCATTGCCATGCTGCTGTTCCCCGCTGCACCTGTTCTGCGTAACCGTGACCCTCCATCATCGTACTTACTCGAATTACTTCGTTCACGAGCTACCTTACGTTATTTGCCATCCCTAACGTTCCAAACTTTCCTGACACACCCCCCTTCCCCCGCCCTCCCTTTCCCCCCTCCCCTCATCTCCTCCCCCCCACCAGGTGCGCGTGATCACGCGGCCGGACCTGCTGCGCTTCACGTTTGTGCGCAACCCCTTCTCGCGCCTCGCCTCCACCTTCCGCTCCACCGTGCTCGCCACCCACAGCAGCCTCGCGCCCACCTCGCGCGACCACTGGAGCAATGTGGGCGGGGTGTGGGCATTTGGGCGTGTGCTAGGGTCATGGGGTGCGAGCGGGGGAGAGTCAAGAGAGAGCTGCAAGGCCATGCAACACCGCACATCCACTTGTCTTCCCTTCTCTGCTTGCATCTCCTCTCACCATCCTGCAAGCTTCTCCCATCACCATCTCTTCCCAACTTGCCCCAAACCCGCTCCACCACACCACCCTTGCGTGCGTGCGTGTGTGAGCAGGCATTGTTCCGGGCGGTGCGGCCGACAGTGGAGGCGGTGGTGCGCGAGGGCGACGGGCAGCTGTCCTTCCCGTCCTTCTGTATTTTGACTCGACTCAAAATACATCCCTCCATGCGTGCGTGCGTGTGTGAGCAGGCGTTGTTCCGGGCGGTGCGGCCGATAGTGGAGGCGGTGGTGCGTGAGGGCGACGGGCAGCTGTCCTTCCCGTCCTTCGTGCGCCTCGTGGGTCGCCTCATGGACCACACCCGCCCCCTCATGGACTCGCGCATCGCGCCCCAGGTGAGGTGTTGCGCGCCAGGTGAGGTGTTGCGCCTCGTGGGTCGCCTCATGGACCACAGCCGCCCCCTCATGGACTCGCGCATCGCGCCTCAGGTGAGGTGGGGTGCTGCGCCTCAGGTGGAATTGGTGTGCCCGAGGAGAATACAAACAGTGAGGTACAGGTGTTGGGAGGGCGAGGGGCAGCTGTCCTTCCCGTCCTTTGTGTGCCTCTTGGGTCGCCTCATGGACCACACCTGCCCCCTCATGAACTCCCGCATCGCGCCTCAGGTGGGGTGCTATGCCTCAGGTGGGCTTGCTGCGCCTCAGGTGGGCTTGCTGTGCCTCAGGTGGGCTTGCTACGCCTCAGGTGGGCTTGCTGTGCCTCAGGTGGGCTTGCTGTGCCTCAGGTGGGCTTGCTGCGCCTCAGGTGGGCTTGCTGCGCCTCAGGAGATTGCCAACACGGGGTTGACCCAGGTGGGGTGCCCCAGGTGAAGTTGTTATCGCTCAGCTGGGAATGCTGTGTCAGAGGAGAATACAAACGGTTTGACGCAGGCGTTTGGCACTGAGATGCTAGTCACAAGTGGTTGAGGTGGTGAGGGTGTCACGTCAGGTGGGCATGTAGTCGCGTGGTTGGAAACAGTTACTCTAGAATGAGTTTGTATGCCAGCTGTGAAGCATTGATTCATGCTGCATATATGAGCCGATGAGAATCATGGTGATGGCAACCACGTGTGACAGGAAGGTCGCGTGGTGCTAACGGTGTCTGTTTGACGCATGTGCCTTCACCCCCGCTTGCCGTGTGTGGTGGGATGGGTGGCAGGTGGACGTGTGTGCACTGTCCACCATCAAGTACGACGTGGTGGGCCGTGTGGAGAGCCTGCTGGACGACGCCCGCGCTGTTGTAGACCGCGTGGGCGGTGGGGGGCAGGGCGGTGGGGCGCACATCGAGATCTTTGAGGAGGACGGCACAGGGAAAGGTGCAGACGCCGACGCCAGCCTTGCACGGCTGTATGACAAGGTGAGGCACGGCTGTATGACAAGGTGAGGCACGGCTATGTGCTGGCCGCAAACCTCTCGCTCGTTTTCTATTGCCGGTGCATGCTGCCACGCTGCCATGCTGCCATGCCATCATGATGCCATGATGCCATGGTGGGATGCTGTGATGCTGGCAAGCCACCATACTTCCATGATGTCATACTGCCATGATGCCCTACCGCCATGCTGCTATGCTGCCATGGTGTGATGCTACGATGCTGCCATGCTGCCATGCTTCCATGATGCCATGATGCCATGCTGTCATGCTGACCTGATGCCTTGCAACCATGATGCCATACTGCCATGATGCCATGCTGGCATGCTGCCATGCTTCTGTGATGCCATGCTGCCATGCTGTCATGGTGCAGGACACATACGAGGCGGTGAAGAGCATATACGCCATGGACTTCTATGTGGCGCTCAACAACATCACACAGCCCGCGCCCCACGTGCTGCACGACCTGCTTGAGAGCGAGCTCTGAACCTGCGGCGCCCCCTCCCCCATATGTCTCATTACCACTTCTCTCAGGTCATTGATTATATGCCTAAGCGCCCCAACCCAAGTCTTGAAAGGGGAAAAGAAACTAGGGAACTCTATCCAAGGAATTGTATCACAATTTTTATGGTATGTTCGAAGCCGAAGGCGACGCGGGGCAGCCTCGGCATCGTGAATGTAGGCCGAACGTGCGAAGTCGGAAATGTCAGGGTTGTACGCGTAGCAGTCAACCTAGGTAGGGAATGAGGAAGATTCCTTACGCCCCGAGTCTGATATCAGACAAGATGGTTTGGATGTTTGAATAATAATGTTATAAAATCTCCACTTGATAAGTCACTGCACTAAAACATAATGCATAATTATAGACTTATCTGATGGTAATATTACGTTAGTACAAACCAACACATTGTTTTCAAATTTATTTAAAATGAATGCTCATAAACTTTTACGGTAGGAAGCAAGAGTAATACAAATACAACCCTAACAAATGTTACATCATGCAAATATATGGTAGTCTGACAGTTACAATAACGTTCTACCATAACTCGGGTACGGTATTCATCGAGAAAGGGAGAGAAGCCAATTATGCTGAAGCAGCATGTGCAGATGACACCGTATTGAGTGATTGCAACCAGCTTTCTAAGGATACGTGTCGCGGCCTTCTACGAGGCAAACTGCCGAGCGCATATTCCGGATCGCCGTTGCCATTTTGTCCTCTGGGTTCATCATGTCCCTGGCAGATAACAATGGGAGTACAGAGAGAATAATACCGTCTCAGTAGAGCCCGGTCTTTCATAAGTGCAGAAAGGGAAGCGAAATAGCAGGTAACTGTGGAAAAGCTGGTACGGGTGTGGAGAACGATAATCACTTACTGGTACGACCAATAAGATGTCGCAATCCGAAAGCCGAAGTTCCATTCTGTGAAATCATCGAAACAGTTATCTGATGGGTAGAATCTGACTTTATAGCAAATCGGTGAGTAGCCGTTGTTGATTGTAATAATGTACGCTGCTGTGACCTTCCCCGCCACTGCATCCGGGATCTGCGTGCATATGTTTTTGTCGAGGCGGAAGGTGTAGGGCCGAGAAGACCTGTCCTTGGCGGTTTCATTGGCAATAAGCGTGAGGCTGAAAGAAGAGGCGCGTCCTTCACCACCTGCAAAGGAGTGGCGCACGGGTGGAACAACGCATGGCAGCGTTAGTTGCGTGTTGCACACGCATCGCCATCATGTTCAGATAACTTGGCCTCCACCATCAGGCATCTATCCGCTATGGTAAGGTGAGGAAAATTGTAGCAGAGTGGTGATTGGCTAATGGGGAAAGAAGGAAGTGGAGTGAATATGCTTGACAGAAACTCACTCGGAGTGCACGAGCCCACTCTGTTTGGTGTTGTCGAACATGCCATGCCCTTCAGCGCACATGCAATACCAAGTCGATTTTGAGTCAACTCAAAAATTGATTGTTCCACAGAAACTCACTTCGAATACATGCGCCCGGTATATCGGTGGTGTCGTACATGCCATACCCTTGAGGGCACATGCAGTACTGCACCGGCACTGGCGCCCAATACCTTCCATAATCATAACTTGTTTTGCAGGTGGCTCCTTTGGGGCAGGAGCCACAGGGAGTGTCTGAAGAATGCAGCAAGGGGCAAGCAACGGGAGAAGCAAGGGGATAAGAAAGACAGGGCAGAGAAAAGGTGGGAGCTTTATGGGTGAAGGGTGGGCATTGGTGGGGTGTGATATGTCGGTAGGGTTTGCTAGAGGGGGACCGTGGCTCCAGTCCAAACAAACGAGACAGAAGAGAGGCAGGCCGGCAAAAGGCAAAGCAGTCAGCTTGCTATGGGGGCTCATAGCCAAGTACGTTACACTTATTCAGTGCTGCCTCGCTCTCATGGGGTGGACACATTCCAAACAAAGGAATGACATTGAGTTTTAACGTGTGTGGGCCTTACAATGGATAAATGGGATTGCAATTGGAAGCTTCGATGGGTCTCGCCATACGATAGTGCATAAATTGAAGTGAGAGCGAGAAAGGGGGTTAGCCATGCTCACTCACCCCACTGGCAGAAAAGCTCGCTGCTCTGATCCACCTGACAGGTGCCACCGGGGTCACAGCCCAATGCCGCACATGCAGGATCTGCAGCACACAGGCGAGAAAAGGGACATGCGAAAAGGGACATGACAAAGTGACAACATCAGGGCGTAGCACCCTTGAAAAGGTAGCTGCAGCAATGCGAAGCACCCTCTAGGGCGATCAGCGATGGAAGCACCACTGGAGTTGACTTGCGGATGAGCAAAGCACGTATGGCCACTGAAGCTGAAACTGCAAAGCACGTACCGCTGGAGCTGACATTCAGATCGCATAGAACCGATGCCACTGAAGCCAACTTGGGGACGTCCTTCTGCGTGCTGGGGAACCTGAAGGGCGTGGCAAGTGGAGTGGAAGCACACACACACACACTTTTTGAAAAAGAGAGAACTGACGCTACTGAAGCACACTTGAGGATATTCTTCAAGGGCGTTGGCAACACAAGGTCTCATAATGATCCTAAGCAAAACTTCTCCCAGTGCCCCTCTCTTTTCTCATTTCCTCCTCTATCCTCACTCCCTTCCCCTCCCAAACCCTCCCCTCCCTTCCCCATCCATCCCCTCCTCCCCTTAAAGTCATGCAACTCCCGTGCTATGCGTCACACACGATCCCAACTCACATGCACCCCAACTCACATAAACCCCGATTCACATGCACCCCGACTCACGTGGACCCAGGCGTGCGCGGGTTGGCAATGCTGTCCAGCGGCGGGCCCTGGCAGCCGACTTTACCAAAGAGCTTGACCCGCGCGCACTGCCCGCCCGCCGACGCGCTGCCCGAAGCCCCAGTGCCCTTCCACCACGCTGTCGCGCTCTTCTTCTTGGCGCTCTTCAGCGCCTTCTGTGCCTTCTTGTCCACGCTCACGCACAGCTGCTGCGTCGTGAAGTTCAGCTGAGCGGCGCCCACCCCCAGCGCGACCGCCGTGGCAACCTGCATGCGCGCACTGCTGTCGCCGCTGGTGGTGGCTCCCTCTCGCACCACGAGTGCCCTCCTCGCGGCGTTGAGTTTCTTGCTCGCCGCCGGTTTCGGCACCGCCGGCGTTTCGTCTCCGTAGTACGCTGCGGCGTTCAGCGTGTCATGTGGCAGTGTGATCGTTCTAACTGCGGTGGAGTCGACGCCGTACGCTGCAGCTTTCATCATCATCCCGGCCGCTGCGAGCACAAGCGAGCGGACGCGCGGAGACGAGAAACGAGAGCAGCGATGAGAGGAGAGAATTCAGGTGAAAGAAATGCGGGAGTCGACAACAGAAGAGGGCAGGAAGGAGCACTGAGAGAACGGCACGGATAGCACTGAAATACTATTTAGAGAAAGGAAATACTGACCACAAATGAGGGCAAGCACGAGGAGCAGGAGTCCGGCACGAAAGGCGCTCGCAGAAGTCATCCCCATGGTCATGTTGAAGAAAGGTGAGATCGACCCGCAGCAAAGCCTTAAACCAGAAGCGAAGGCCCGTGAAGTGGCGCGGCGAAGCTGTGACGTACGAGTCACGGTGTTTGATTCACGTGCGGTTAAGTGCGGATTGTAGGAACCGAGTCCTATGCAAGGGGAAGTTGAGCAGCGCGTCCTTCTATGGGAAGGACACTCCAGTGCAAGGGGAGTCCAGTGCAAGCAGTAATAGGAAAATGGTGGACTGGCAGGTGCGATGGAAGTATAGCGAGTTTGCTTTGGGCCTTGTTTGTGCTGGGCTGGTGGTTTATAGTGCGAGCAACGTGACAGCCGCCGCGCCATGGCAGCGAATTATAAGCTCGCGAAATGTGTTTGGCTTGCATGAGTCGCAGATAGTTTGAATTCTAGGATAGTTTTGGGGGGCCTCCCGTGCGTGACGGAGCTTGACCGCGGGGAAGAAAGATTACAGGGGACACGATGGACTATCCTTCGCAAACCAATGGCGCAATGCGCTGGCTTCTGGCGAGTCCATTCCGTCTCGTCGCTTCCAATCAGGTTACGACAATCTCGTTGACCTAGCAGTTGCATCATACGGGCGACAATACCTAGATTCGTTATAGCATATCCGTTTGACGACTGGTTTATCGAGAGACGCGTTCCTGGTGAATCTGCTCGTCCGAAGCCCGCTCCGACACCCCCCTGAAAGCTGAGGCGCGGGCGGGCGGGAGAAAAATTGAGGTGGCGAGAGCCTACGGAGAGGATTCAAGTACACACTGATCCAACGGCCACCTGCGATGCAGAACGCGTACCAAATTCTCCCACGTGTGAATTTGTTTCCAGCGTCATCCACGGCCATCGATATTGAGTCGAATAATTGGGAGGGACAACTGAGGCGTATGTTGATGCGTGGTAACGCATATTGTTTAAAGCGAATATATGGTGCTGCGAATTCGTCTCTCACGATGGTGAGAAAACTCACGAGAAGAGTAACCAAGATCAGTAGGATCGCGATATGTTTTACCCTGCCTTCCATCATCGACGATACTTCACTGTGTCGTCCGCTCGCCAAGATTTTCAGTCCTGCTCAACGAGGGGTTTAACCGTCCGCAGCCATAATCGTCAGCGAGATGAGTCAATTGTGACGGGCGTCTGCGAGGAAATTCGTTCCGGCGGGTCCAGCACGTTTCGTGCTTTGTTCGTTCTGTGCGGTTACTGTTGTTGCATCAAGGTGCAAAACGGTGAGGCCTGATAACGTTGTGCACCATCTGGAATCGTCTTGCGCCACGAAGGATGAACCAAAAACGAAGACGCTGGACCCAGTGGAAGATTTCCAAGCGAGCCATCTGCGAAACCATCGTCAAATTCGTTGGTGAACCATTCGCTCCGTCGTTCGATTTCTGGTCCCCACCTCCACAACAGCAAGCCCTTGCACTTGGATTGCACGCCACTTATCTCGTGATTGCAACCTATACTTCAAATAATTCCCGAGGAAATCCGCAACACACACCCG